TATAAGTGCAATTCAATAGTAAATAGCAATGTGTGCAATGTGTGCTTATTGTAACAAAATTGCAGCAGCCAAGAGAGAATATAAGCAGATATGTAGGTATGCTGCCAGAGATCTCAGATTTTGGATTGCATGAAGATTTGACTATGTCCCTGAGGTTATTCACTAATTGTGGTGCTCTGTAGGAAAATAAGAATCAAGACACTTTATTTTTGTATTGCGGTATGCTAAATATAGTGCTAGTACTGGATCGGAGGTTATAGGAGGTGGGAACAGCTGGGGAGAATGCACTTATGCACAAGGCTGGAAAGATGAAGAGTGCGTCGAGATGCCAGCGATAGCCAGTTTAGTTCTTTTAACACGTCACAATGGTGGGTCATTACACAATGTATTTAGTTTATTAAGGTGGGTTTGCAGTGCGGGTGCATACACTACATCCCTATAATCAATGACCGGCATTAGCATCTGTTTCCTTACTGTAGGACAGTGATGGCGAACCTTTTTGAGCCTGAGTGCCCAAACCGCAATACATGCCAACTTTTTTCTCCTCAAAGTGCCAACACAGCAATTAAACCCGAATACTGAGGTTTAAGTTTAGAAAAAACAACTCGTACAGTTGTCCGAACTAATTCTCCTCTTCTTTCCCCCCAGCATCTTCCCTTCTCTACCCACAGCATATCCCCCTCTTCCCCAGCATCTCCTCCTCTCCCCTTCTCCCCCCAGCACCTCCTTCTCCTCTCCTCTCCCCACATTCTCCTCCTCTCCCCTTCTCCCCCCAGAATCTCCTCCTTTTCTCCTCTTCCTCTCCCCCAGATTCTACTCTTCCTCTCCCTATCTCCCCCAACATATCCTCCTTTCCCCCAGATTCTCCTCTTCCCTCTCCTTCTCCCCAGCATCTGCTCCTCCCGTTCTCCCCCAGCATCTCATCCTCTTCTCTCCCCAACATCTCCTCTTCCTCCTCTCCCCCAGCATCTCCTCCTCCTCCTCTCCCCAGCTTCTCCTCTTCATTCCCCACAGCATCTCCTCTTTTCTCCCCTAGGCATCTCCTCTTCTCTCCCCCCCAGCATCTCCTCTTCTCTCCCCTAGGCATCTCCTCTTCTCTCCCCCAGATTTTCCTGTTCTCTCCCCTAGGCATCTTCCCCTCACTACCCCAGCATATCCCCCCTCCGCCAGTATATACCCCTCTCCCTACCAGCACACAAATAATGGGTGTTTTTTTTGGTGCAGGTGGGAGTTTGAAGTTCTCCCAGGATCCCTACCTCCTTCCCGCTGCTGTAAGGGGGTGTGGGCGCGAGGGAGCACTGACTTACGTACTGTTCCAACACTGCTCCCTCTGCAGATGCTGCCGGCAAAACAGGAAATTACGTCAGGTGGCGGCGCCTGATTGACGCCATTTCATGTCTCCCGGTGGCATCAATGGAGGGAGCAGTGCTGTAACAGCACGTAAGTCAGTGCTCCCTCGCAGCCCTCCATCCCATCCACCCACCAGTGCCACCTTAACAACATTATGGGCTCTGGGCAAAGCAGTGCACTGGGGCCCTGCCTACATACAACTCACAGGAATAAAAATTAAAATTATAAATAAAATTAGGCTTATATTTATTAGTATCTCCAACAAATGCAATACATACATAAAATACATACACACAGACTGCTGAATATATACACACCAACACACATACAGTCTGCTGAATACATGCACACAGTCCGATGCATACATGCACTCACAAACATACACACAGACTGCTCAATACATAAAGACTGCTGAATACACATACAGACAGACTGCTGAATACACACTCACACACACACAGAATGCTGAGTACAGACAGACTGCGGAGTACACACAAACTGCTGAATACATACACACAAAAACACACACATGCTGCATTGAGGGGCAGTGTATGTGTTTGTGTGTACGGGTGTGGAGTGCTGTGTATGAGGGGTGCTGTGTGTGTGTGTGAGAGGGGGTGCTGTGTGTGTGTGTATGTGTGGGGGGTCTGTGTGCTCTGTGTGAGAGGGGTGCTGTGTGTGAAAGGGGTGCTGTGTGTGGGGAGGTGCTGTGTGTGTGTGAGAATGAGAATATTGTGGGTGGGGGGGTGCTGTGTGTGTATGTGCAGGGGGTGCTGTGTATGTGTGTGTAGGGAGTACTGTGTGTGTGTGGGGGTGTTGGGTATCTATGTGAGAGGTGCTTTGTGTGAAAGGGTGCTGCTGTGTGCAATGTGGGGAGTGCTGTGTGTGTGTGTGTGGGGGTGTTGCTGTGTGTGTGGTGCTGGGTGCTCTGTGTGTGTGTGTGGGGGGTGCTGGTAGTAGTGTGGGGAGGTGCTGGGTGCTATGCATGAGAGGGGTGCTGTGTGTGAAAGGGGTGCTGTGTGGGGGGGGCTGCTGTGTGTGTTGGTGGGGGAGGGTTGCAAATATATTATTACAATCTGAATCCCCCCTCCCTTCTGCTTACCTTATGTGAAGGAAGGGGGGACACATAAATCCCTGGTGGTCTGGTGGTGGTAAGAGGGACAGGTCCTGCAGCTCTGCCGTCCTCCCGCCCGCGCGATTCTGTGTGGAACATTGCCATGGTAACGCGCGGCAAGGCTCCACACTGATTGCTCGCGGGAGGACGGGAGAGCTGCTTCTCAGATCCCTCCCCCTGTCCTCCCGACACGGAAGCAGAGTAGGCGTCTGCCCTTTTGGGCAGGCAGGTGCCTACTCTGCATTGATGGCGAGCTATGGCCGCGTGCCCACAGAGAGGGCCCAGCGTGCCACCTGTGGCACGCGTGCCATAGGTTCGCCATCATTGCTGTAGGACTTAGGCAAGATTTGTTTACGTACAGGGCACCTAGTTTTTGATAATGAAACAACCCCTCTCTCTGGCCCTTCCCCTTCCCACTGGGCCGCTGTGATAAAAAAAATATGCCCTGGCCAAATTGTTTCCCAGTCCGGCCTTGGTCACAACAGTATATATAAAACACGTAAAAATTATATTATTGATCTATATTAACAGATACCCATAACCGACTCCTTCAAATTGAGTATTTCATGAAGTAATCCAGCAGGTGTCGCTATAAACCACATAATAAGGTTTACTGATTCAAATATGTTATCATCTCTTCAGAAATAATTCCTGTATTTGTATTCTACAGGTGAAGAAGTTTTCAGCTTATTATTTTACATTGAGTGTGGCTTTGTTATGTTACATTGAGAGAAGAAATATATTCATTTTTTGGAGTGTAGTTAATATTATCTGATTTTAGAGGTTTTTGTGTACGAATTGTCTGCCGGGTTCATTATAATAATCAGTTTCTGGTAACAATTTAAACAGTACTGGTGAGGACTGCACCTCATCTGTGAATTAACCCTTTAAGGACACAACTTCAGAAATAAAAGGGGATCGTGATGGGATATTTCCATCATGTGTTTTTAAGGGGTTAAAGGGACACTTTAAAGGGACACTATAGTCACCAGTGCAACTGACCCTATAGTGTTAACACAACCATCTAGCCACCCTGGGCCCCTCATGCCTCCATAAATATAGTAAACATCTTACTGTATTCAAGCCAGAATCTGTAAATCTGCATGCTGTTAGACTCAGGAAAAACAAGCAGTCTGCTGACTTGATAGCCTGATCCAATCACAGTCAGGGCCGGTGCAAGGATTTTTTGCTTCCCTAGGCAAAAAAAAATTTGCCGCCCCCCCCAGTGACATCACAATGCCCCAACCATATGATCTGCCATATGAACTAACGCCAGTGCTGCACCCAGTGTGTGTTTACATTAAAAAGCCTGCAGGGACAAACTATAGACACCAGAACCACTTTATTAAGCTGCAGTGGTTCTGGGGACTATAGCGTCCCTTTAATGTGAGGTAAATTAGAGATTAGTGTCACTAATAATATACTAGATTGCCTACTTACAATCAGATGAGGATGGTGATGGGCTCTGGCTGCAGTCTGGCTCCACTGGTCTGGTGTAGAACAGGATCTCTGGAGGCTGTTTGTAACTGTGGTCACAAAATTCAATGTTCTGGGAGAACGGGAAGCAGCTCCATTTTTTGGGGCCCCTTAGACAGCTCAAGGTCTGGGCCCCAGGGCCTGACGGTGAGTATGCCCATAAGGCCCACCCATAAGTCCACCTACATGTTCCACCCGTGAGTTCGCTCTCAGGGAGTAGAGTGTGTAGGGCATGTGTTATGTGTTACTGTAGAGGATCTAATGTGTGTGCTTATGGAATGTAGTGTATAGGGATACCAGTTTGTGTAGGTGATGCAGTATGTTTGTGTGTAGTGGAAGCAGTGTGTTTTTGTGTAAGGGATATAGAGCAGTGTGTGTTTGTGTATAAGGGATGTATTGTGTGTTTCTTGTTGCGTGTAAGGGATGCATTGTGTGAATCTGTGTTTGTATGCATAAGGGATGCAAAGTGTGTTTCTCTGTATGTAAGGGATGCAGTGTGTGTGTCTGTAAGGGGTGCGTTGAGTGTCTGTAAGAGATGCATTGTGTTTCTGTGTGTGTGTAAGAGAAGCAGTGTGTTTGCATGTGTGTGTAAGGGATGTATTGTGTGTTTCTGTGTATATGTGCAAAGGATGCATTGTATTTATGTGTAAGGGTTGCATTGTGTGTGTGTGTGTGTAATGGATGCATTGTGTGTTTCTCTGTGTGTAAGGGAAGCATGTTGTGTTTCTGTGTGTATAGGGATGCATTGTGTTTGTGTGTGAAAGAGCTCCCTGTCCTGCCCCCTGTCCTATAAAGCTCTCCCTTCCATCCCTTAGAGATCTCCCCTGCCCCTTAGTGGTCTCTCCTCTTCCCCCCACCTCCCTTAGTGGTCTCCTTTTCTCCCCGACTTTCCATTAGTGGTCTCTGCTCTCCTATGCCCCCCCTTTTCATTGGTGGTCTCTCCTCTCCCCCCACCCTCCCCTAGTGGTCTATCTTACACCCCCACTCCCTTAGCGGTCTCTCCTCACCCCCTCCCCTAGTGGTCTCTCCACCACCCCCTCCCTCCTTTAGTGGTCTCTCTCTCCCTCCCCCACCTCCTCCTCAACCCACCCTCCCTGTGTTCTCATCTCCCCCATTTGTTCTCCT